GCCTTTACAATGATAATCTTAACCTAGAAATGGATCTATCATTATTATTTTTACTTATTATGATTTTTTTTTTCTTCCCTAAAGTGTAAGCTCCATGAGGGTGGGGATTTTTTCCTGTTCTGTTCGTTACTTCTGAATTAGAATAGTTACTGGCACAACAGGTGCTCAAGAAATAAAGTTTGAATGTTGAAGGAACACTTTATGCCTACATATTAAACTCATTTTGTGTGACATTTAGTGCCTGTTATAGTAGGTGCTCAATTTGCTTATTAACTGATTAACTGACATTGAATCTCCTACTAGACCGTGTAGCATTAAATATAGGATGGGACAAAGTTTAAATATTATGTGGCATCTGGATTTACATATCACTTCATTCAAAATTGTTTTAAAATATGAGCTGTAAAAAAGATGGAGGACTAGCAATGGCATACATTAAGTGAAATGCTGATATAGGGGAGGATTATTATTAAAATTGAATTAAAATTAGTTATTCATTTCTAGTAACATTGCATATTTTTATGATATAAAATAACCATTAATTCTCTAATTTTATTGAAAAAAAAATAACCTGTTCTCTTCTGCCTGATTAAAAACTGAGTACAACAAAACACTAAAGGGCTTTCTAATCATCAAAGAAAATGTTAAATTATGCCCAGTATCCTCTTAGTGTTAATATCTTTTAGACTACTTTTTAAAATAAATCTTTTAATATAAAGTAAATGATTTGGGGGACATCTTTATTCTTCTGAAATAGAATACCACCATATATTTCTATAAATTATTACTTAGTTTTAGAAAAGGATAGTTAGACTGCTTAGAACATTTAGCATTTACAAAATGATATGTAAATTTATTTTTCCTTTAAATTTAGTTGACTATTTAAAAAATGCTTAGAAAGTTATTTCAAAAGTGACTAGTTTAATTTTGAATGTAGCAAGTGTCAGGATTACCAGTGATGGTAATCAGATTATTATTGGATTTTCTTAAGCTTATAGTGGCATTTGCTAATTCACATGCACAGACATGGGAGTGAGGCACCTGGCCTTAAAAGAGGTTGCAACTTGAGTCTCCTCTGTCTTGTCCTTCCACTTTCTGCCTCTGCTTTATTTTTCCCTCGTAAGCTAACTTTGGGATAGAGAGGTTAGGCGAGGAGTCATTGATCATCAGCATCTCTGGAAACACTTCATTCCAGTTTAGGAACCAATGAGAAAAAGAGCTTTTAGTTTCCCAGCTCTAAAAAAGGACTTCAGTAGTAGCAGAGTAACTAGTCACTATGATTAGCCCAGCCTGGGGTATGTTATCTTTTTTGACAAGAAGATAGCTGTTTTTAGAAGATGGGAAAAGGAGAAAAGGAGTAGTATTTGGCTGCTCAGAGCAGATAAAGCCTCCCTGTGCTTAACATAATGTCTCCCTCCCACCTGTGGTCACCTCTCCCAGAGGAGAAGCCTCTCCAAATCATATCCAGCCTCTGCGTCTGCAGGCATCTCAGGGCAGCAATGCTTTCTTGATGTCTGGGACAATTCTCTGGGTGGTATTTATTTCTCTTCATCAAGTCCAATTGTAGCTCTTCATGATTCTCAGCAACCTATAGGGCAAATGATGATGGTAACTAATCCTGGCACAATCAATATAAATTCCAAGCAAAAACAGCTTTATCAAAATTAAAACTGCCATTTAGAAAAGAGGAAGCGCGTTAGTCTCTAGTTGAGAGCGTATATCATAACCTGCTGTCAGTGCGAGTAAGCCTTGCTTTCCTGGCGGCGGCGTCTTCGGTCAGCCCATCTGCCTGGCTGTATCTAGCCCTCTGGAAGGCTCTTCCTTGTCCCCCATGGCACCCAGGGGGGAACTGAAGAGGCGGAAGCACATGCTGTGGCTATCCTGATTGAGTAGCCACTTTATATTTGTAGCGATTTGTACACTTGGAAATTATGTTTTTAGGCTTGATGGTTCTTGTAATTATGTTTTTGTGTTTCTCTTTTCATGCTTTGTTTTAAGCAATAAAACTTCTTAGAAACCTAGGCCTATTTCTTATAGTATTATACAGGAGACCTAGCATCTTATGGATAAAATCTTTTTTCTGTCTGTATTTTATATCTATCAGACCCTGCCCTTGAAGATCTAGCAACAAGCTTCAGGGCTCTGCCCGTCCTCCAAATCCTTACAGTAACAGCCTTTTTTTATTATTTTTTTTTAACAACAACAACAACAACAAACAAACAAAAAACCTCCGCCTAGAAATTACTGAAAACAATAGGTATCTATCACTTGCCCCAGACTTTGTCTCAGTTGATTTTTCTTTTCAAATGTGGTTCTTAGTTTTGTTTTCTGGTTTTGTTTTGTTTTTCCTTTATGCAAGGAATACCTACACCAGGAGGTATTAGTCCAGTTCTTGAAGACCTAGTCCCCTTGATATCCCTTCTTGGATCCTTTTCTAAGTAGAGAGTGGGACAGAACATCCCAGAGCTCTCAGCTCACTTGGAAAGGGCAGAGAAAGCATCTCTTGCAGAAGCTGGATAATTACACCAATGACCCTTTTCCACTTGCAAATGAAGCTTGGAATAAGACTTTTCACTTTCTTCTAGCCCTTACAGAAATGGTCACACAAGAAACATTCTTAAATTTTTCTTCCACATTCCCAAAGCTGCACCCTCACTAGACACAAACATCGAACCCTCAACTCACCCCACAATAATGAGGTATTCTTAATTGTCCTGCCTTACTCATCATCTACTTTTACTTTTCTATCTTTGTTCTAAGAAATCTTTCCCAATATGCCCTTTCTTCTGACTTCCATATTTCTGATCATTGTTTATCTTTTACTGCAATTTCTTCAGTCTCTCAGATTCAGACTCTTGGATTCTTTGAGTCTTTTTTTTTTTTTTTTTTTTTTTAATTTGCTATAGGTGACATTTGCTTGCTGGATGGAGTGACAGAGAGAGGGACAGAAACAGAGAGAGGAACTGAGAAAGCATCTCCATGGGGAATGATCATGCCACAACCCCTTCTTCTCCATTCTCTTCTGGAGATTTGAGGCACACACATTCAGCATGTTTTCCAAACCACCAAATCTGGGACGTGAATCACACAGCCAGCTATGTAGGATCCAGATGCCTTAACCACCATACTACCAGCTGCTCTGTCTCCCTCCTTACTCGCTCTCTCTGCTCAGAGTCCTGTGTATTCTTACATCTGACCCATTTTTTCCATCACCAAGACTGATACTGGCATTAGTCCTGATTACTCTTCACTACATTTCATGTAACAATTTGCCAGCATTTTCACCAATTGTTTAATTTTTTGCACTCTAACCCATGATACCCTTTCCACTTAATCTTCCAAAAAGGGTGATCTGAGAAAGCAACCCCCTGCTCCAACACTTGTGACCTCATTCATTCATTGTGTCCAAACACTGTACTAGTTACTGTAGATAGCAATTATGAATGATGCAAAGCTGTCCAAACTCTAATGGAGTTCATAGTATATCAGGAGAGAAAAAAATTAACCCAACATTAAAGGTAGCTACTCTCCATGACTTTCAAAAATCTCTCCAATATAATCATATATTTTTATCTTTCTTTCAGTGATGAAGGCATTCCTCTGACTTTTACAATACATCTCTTTTTTTTTTTTTGCATGTATAAATAAAAAGAACTGTACATGGCAGTCTCTCTGAGTTTAAACTTGGCAAAAATTTTGTGTATCAATTTTGTAGACTTTAAATGGTAATAATATGAAATAGTCACTGGCATGTGTTCAGAACTTACTTTGGACCAACAAACCCTAGTGGTTAAAAGTACAGACTCTGGGTCATACTGCCTAGTCCTGAGTCCTGGCTCTGCTCCTTAGTTGCTGTATGACTTGGGTATATCAGGGCCTGGGCATCTTTATTTGTCAAATGGACAGAATAGTGTTGGGATTGATTAAATAAGTTAACGTACAAACCTTTAAAACCAGTAGCAAATAGAAGGCATGGAGGTTGGGCAGCTGGATCCCACATGACCAACTGCACAGTTCCAGTCCTGGACCACAGCTTGAGAATCAAGCCAAATGTGTGTGCCTGTGTGTGTGTGTGCTCAAGGTCCCTGGAGGAGAATGGAGGAGGAGGAATTCTAGTGTGACTGTCCCCTCCAAGGGGTGATTTCTCACTTTCTCTCTCTTTCTGGTGAGCATGCTTGCCCTATAGCAAACTAAAAAACAAAAAACAAACCAACAAAACAAAACAAAAAGAAACAGTGCCTACCATACTGTAAGAGATATATAAACCTTAGCCATTTCTGCTATTGCGTTCCCGAGTAGGCTGTACTATTATCCATATTTTGCCATTCAGGAAATGAAATACCTGGCTCAGGGTTCCACAGAAAGTGATAAAATCAGGGTTCAAATCTGTACATTCTGTCTTTAGAGCAGGTACTAACAACTGCCATGCTGTCTAACCTTCAGTATAGGATGACCATAAGACTAAAAGGAGATAATCAATATTTAATAAAATCTAAACCTGTAATGCACTAGGACTATATAAGGTATTATTAACCATGCCATAAGTTATAATTGAAAAAGATACTATTTTTTTCAGTCACTTGAAATCTTTTAATTATATCAGTATATACATCAATAAACATTTCTATGGTATGGGATAATTTAGACAACCTTTCACATACCCAATTTAATTCCTATTTCTGCTTTGCAAAGATGGCCAAGTTAGTATTATCTCCATTTTAAAAATGAGAAGGCTGAGCATCAGAAAAGTTAAGATACCTCCTCAAGTGTTCAAAGGTAGTAAATGAGAACATCTCTAACATAAATCTGAAGCCCCAAATGTCATCCTTGCTTCACTAAAATACTCTGCTGTTTTCTAATGATTTATATTTCAGCAGATTAAACAGCTAACTTTTATGATGTGGTTTGCCATTATAAATATATGTATGTAAATACTAATAGATCTTTGCATACGACAGCATACCTACTTAACTCACATTCTTTCCTTGTTCTTTTTACAGATCGTGATTGCCAGCATCATGTGCAGTTACAACAAAAGCGACTGGATGGAACTCTCAAAAATGGCTGAGGTAATGACTTCCTTAGTATATATTTATTTTATTTCTTCCCACCAATTTTTATTAGTTCTAAATAAAGAGCTGCCATGAAAAATAATACACAGAAGTGAAATTGAATTGAAAATGTAACTTAAAACATTTCTACTGTAATTTGTTTACCCTGTGTTTTCATTAAAGTGATGGAAATGTAAATTTAAAAGGAATTTATTCTATAAAAGCGGTCCCTTGGATTTCACACACTACCTAAAAATCTTTTATTCTCTGAATCCATATAGTCTTTATTTGCATATTAAGCAAACTGTATATTATGATGGATGCCATGATAAAATTTAATTCTGCCTTTGAGAATCTAACTTGATCTTACCTCGCCTTTAGGCAAACTAGTTTGACAGTAAGAGAAGAAATTTTGAATATAAAACTCTTGAATATTTAAAATATAAAAGGTTCATTTAATACTATTCTCGTTTGAATACAGACATGCATAAAATGGTAGGACAGAATGCTCCTGAATGGAACACTAGTCAGCAGGTTTTTTATAATATAAATTGAATCCTGCACAAATGCAAACAACTAACCATGTGCCTCGAATTTGTATTTCAACTAGAAAAATACATACTTAAAATTGTACACTTATGTCCATCATGCTGTCATGAAATATAGTCTAGACAGTTTTGCTGGAGTTTCTCAAAAACCTTTCAGCAATATGTAGAAGACTCAATCTAACAATACTTAGAACTAATTGGCTCTACATTATAAAATATTATAATGCTCTTTATAGTGTTCAGAAATGTTCATTGTACATTTTATTTGGATATTTTTAAACTGTGAGGGGAAAAATTACTTCTGGGATTTAGGGGGGTGAAATTAAACACGATCAGTAATTGGCTTCGTGATCTTCTGTGCTGGGTCCATTTTATACATGTATTTACCTAATTGACCATGAAATCTTCCACAGAGCCAGGGCTTGGCATGAGCTTTGCCAATTTTAAGCTGACTATGATGAATGACTTTATCACGCTGCTTGCTTCTCTGCCTTTCTGTGAGAATAAAATACTTTAAAAAATTGTTTTCTTCAGTAATGGACATTAATTTTTAAATAGGCCCATTTACTTTTAAAAAGTCAAAAGCTGTAATTATAAACATACTAGCTTACTTAAAGCTTTTTTTTCACACTTTGCATCTATCTTTAGTTGCCATTTTATTTAATTTCACCTTCTGAGTACTCTATAGAGAAAAAAAATAAGTGGAAAGAAATAAGAGAGATAGAAAGCAAAAGAAAAAATAGAAAGAAAGAAGAAAGGATATGGCTTCTATTCAGTCACCACAGTCTATAAAATCTCTCCACAGGAGGACAATCTACATATCAAGAAAGTCAATCTGTAGATGGTGTCAATTAAAACATAATCTTCCTATAATCTTAAATCTGCTGTAACACAAGGAGTATCACATGAAGGGAATTTCCCCAGGCCTTTAAATCCCTTTGGAGGGTACCATAATTCATGATGATTGTATCACAGCTTAGAGGAGGCACCCAATGACATTTATAGAGTCAGTATTTGGTTTTACTTTTATGAACACATGCTTCAAAAAAGAGTAAAACAGATTGTCATGCAATAGAAGACCCATATAAACAAACCTACAAAAACATTTCCAAGCTAAAGTTACTGTATCACCAAAAATTTACATTTCTTTGGGGGTGGTGATGATACTCAAATACGGCAGACACTCAGCACTCCAGCAGGCCCACTGTTCTAAGGTAAGTAGATGACTTGATGTGATCATGTATATACTTTAAGTGCTATAATTCCTCTTCTTATGGTAGATTAATTTTTGAATTACACAATAGGGGATCAAGTAAACCTGCTATCAGCTTTTTACTACTATATCTGAATGACAGAAATCATGTATGTGTATAAGCAGAACAGACACAACTATACAAGAACGTGAAAACATTTTAAGATTGAGGAACTGTTAGAATTAAAATTTGTACCATGAAGGGTCATTATTTTCTTTTTTTGTGTTTCACTGAGCCTACCTGCCATGTTATTTTACTGTTAAAAAAAAAGGAAGAACTTAGGTACATGTTAAAATATAAGTTCAGTTAAATGCTGTTTCTAAAAGTGAATGTATGTCCAATCTATCTTCTTTATCATATACATATTTTTGAGAAAGATTTGTTTTTTGTTTTGTTTTATTTTGGAAATAAAACCATATTGAACCAACCTTTCCTTTTTACTCTAATCTTAGAATATGCATGTTTTAAAGGTTTTTATACATTTTTGAACCCGGTTTGAATTTGTCATGTTTTCTGAGTACTATGAAAAAGAAGCAGCCTCTGGAACAGTTTTCACAGCTAGGTATCAATAACATTATTGGCTTTACTCAGTTTTCTTAGACTATGTATCTGGTTACAGCCTCTCCTACTTTCTGGGACATTGATAACTTTTTTTTAATTCTGTACACAGAATATCTATGAAGTTCCTACTATGTGTAAATTTCCTGACCAGCCTAAACAAAGGTGAATGAGTTACAGCTTCAGCCATGAAGACATGTTTATAGCTTCAGTAGATATAGATACAGATATGTGTATTTATATATATATATGTCAACACGAGCCATTATTGAAGGCTCACAATAACACATTTTTAAATAGCTCTTGAATCCATTTTAATAGATCTTGATCCGTTTCTTTCTGAATGTGTATTAGCCTAAATAACAGAGACTAAGCCAAGGGTTAACATGAAAAAGCATTGTTGAAGGATACAATCCCAGAGCAGAAACAATGCGGAGTGGGAGGAGAGATGGGGAGAAAGGAAAGCAAATACTCTTAATGCATTATAGAACTGACCACAACTTCACAAGGGAATCGAGCCCATTGTTTAGTCACGGGGATAAATCTGCCTTAGAGAATCATCCTGACTCAGCAGTTTAGAGAGGAAGGGCCAGGACTGTAAGCACATAATAGCTCCTTCCTTCTGCCTCTGCTTGGTTGGTTTTCAGAAATACTATTCAACTTTTCTCTGCACTTTGGTGTTTTGTGCCCTCCCCCTCTGGACCGCAGTTAGGCAAACCAGATCCCACATCATGTCGTGTGATGCTTCATCTAGCTCAGGAAGAGGCCATAGACATTTATCAGTCCTGGGCACTGGCATTCCTAGAGTTCCCACTTCCATGGGGACAATGGAAAGGTGACAAAGCCAACCCTCATCTCAGGGGAGACTGTGAGAGCTGACAGTTATAGAGGATGTGAGGATGGCAACAGGGCCTGGGGCTTCTTTGAACTAGTGGCAAAAGCTTGGGTGGTGAATTTGAAGGAGCCCTCAAATCTGAAGGAGTGTATGAATTGGATGTGGCTCTGTATGCATCACTGCCACGCAATCCAAGTTTATCTGCAGTAACTCCACTGATCTTGCTCTCAGTCAATCCAAAGTCTTTCCAGCTCTCCTAAATTCAAAACGCTTAACTTGTCCTACAGTTTCTGCTGGGCCTGCCTCATGCATAATTCCCCAGTGTCGTCTTGGATTTATTCACCACATTCCAGCTCTCCTTGCCTTCTTTACCTCCTCCAATATATTCCCAACTTAGAGCCTTTGCTATTACCTTGTTCTTTCTCAAACCTGAGTCCTCTGGTTCCATAGGTTAAACCTCCCTGTCCTATACCCTTTAAGACTTTTTCTTTAGTTTTGTCATAAAGTTAATGAAGCTTAGGCTTCAGGACCCTTATTTTTAATATTTTTCTTAAAGACATTTTCAGAATTATTTAAGCTTTAGACCCTCCCAAATCTATCCATTTCTGCCTAAGCTTTTCTTCTGAAGCATTTAGTAAAGGGGAGATTAAGGGTGGTGCCATTAGCCACTACTAACTGTTAAGTTGTGCTGCTCTCTACAAACAAGTTCTGTGACAAGTGGAAAGCCCTGTCTCATTCACTGTTTAATTCTCAATTCCAAGTCCAGGGCTTTGCCCCCAATAAATATTTGTTAAATGAAATAAAAAAATACAGAACTTAAGTTTTGCCATGCAACAAACAAAAAAGGACATTTTTACAGAATAAAGTGGGAAGAGTGGTACTTTATTTGTACCAACAAACATAAAGTAATTAAGGTCCCCAAATGAAGGTTTTCAGTCAGGGACCTGAGGAGCGATTGCCAAGCGTCTGATGCCATTGGTAGACAACAAATGTCCAATAGAGAGTCACAGGTACCAAACAAAGTGGCCACACTAGAAAGCACTTACAGCCAAGTTCTCATCATTTTTTACCTGCTCTCCGGGCCAGCAGTATGTCATTAAATTAAATAGGTGTTAGAGTTAGGAAATCTCAAGTAGGCTGGGGTAAAAATGCACACACAGACAAATTACCAAAATTATGTAGGACGATTGGATGTTAGTCCTTGGATAGCAATGGTGAGCAGAACAGAATGTGATCAGATGGACATCCAGCTGGAAATAAGTGACAGTATCTGACTTCATGTCCAATGGGGTCCAGACCCATTCATTGTCTTTCTTGGCTCCGTTTGCTTCAGAGAAGTTTAAGATCCCAGAGACTATATATCTCCAATTTGGGGTTTTTGAGACCAGGTGATAGTGTTGATACTTAGAAAGTCAACATCTGTCTTGATGTAATCTTTTAACAGAAGAATTTGAAAGAGAGTCCATGGTACACTGTCCTCACTGTGCTTGGGCTCTGATGCCCTTAGAGGACCCTCACCACCCATGGAAGCTTTCCTTTCCCACTTGGGCTCTGATACAGCACACCAAACTTTCCTCCAATAGACAGCCTTTCACTCTGCTCAGGCTCTGAAACCCACATGGGTCCTGGTGTTTCCTCCTCAAGAGCTCACAGTCACCTTCCTTGCTCTGTCTCGAGCAGTGACTTAGCAGTATGAACAGGAAGGTAAGGAAGATGAAGGGAGAGGTACGTAAAAGTAAAAGAAAAGAGAAATAAGATTTTTCATATCTTATTTTTAGTATATGTTATACAAGGGCTTGCAGGGGTTTACAGTTTTGCTACCTTGATTCTTTTGAGAGTTTTTATATAGTTCAGAGAATTTTAGAGACTACACTGCCACACTGTTCCAAGAATTCTCCAGAGTAGTTTTCATTTCTTTTTTGTTCTCTTCCCCTGGCCCCTGCTAAGATATAATTAGGGCTATGTAAGTTACCTTAAACCCTTTTCAGATCAAGGTAGAGGGAGGACAAGTCAAAAGTTCTAGTTGGATAATGAACAGATATGTATTTAGATAGATAAATGATAATTAGGTGATAGATATATAATATTGGTTTACACACTTGTGTAGTATTTACTACATTCCAGGTTTCATTCTAAGTCATCGACTTTCATTAAATTTATTTATGTCTTACAACAACCACTATTGTTTTTCCCTTTTCCTAAATAAGGAAACAGAGGCAAAAATCATTAAATAACGTGCTCAAGTTAACATAACTAATATGTGGTAAAGGCAGGATTCAAACCCATGAAATCTGGTTCCAGAATTTATGCTATTAACATATACACTCTACTTCATGTAGACAGATGATAAATAGGTAATGTAGCAAATGAGAAATCACGTATTTCCCATGTCATTGCCTTCGCTTGCTTACTTAATTTTGTAATCATTTAGGTGAAGTAGAATAAATTCTGTGCTAAGTGACTAAACTAAAAAGCTTGTGACTAACAGGAGTCAGAATCCATGCCCAGTTTCAGCTAATTTAACATTTCATGCTAATTCAGCAATTAAGGCTTTTTGAATGGTTATAGTTGCTTGGAGATGGACTTAACTGCCTTTTAAGGTGGTGTGAATTCTGTGAGAGAAATACTCAAGTAGAGGGCAAACGAATGTGTTGCTTCTCTTACTGTCACCTTGAGCAGCACTCTCAGTTTTTGAGGCCTACATGCTCATTTGAGACCTTTCTAGGAGGGTCTGGTGAGTGGGTATTTGTGTGTTTCTATAATATTGGAGAAATTTTAATAATTAGTCACTGAAAAGACTTTATATCAGACAGGTGACTTTAAAAGAATAGGAGGAAAGAGGGAGGGGATCAGGGGAAAAAAATCATTTAACAGATACAAAAATGAAGAGTTAACTATTGTTGATAATGTACTTGGTGATATATATATAATGTGACTAATATGCATTGTTTTCACACTGGGAAAAGCTATTTTGTATGCTTTAAAGATGTATAATGACAGAGCTAGCAGGTGGCGTGGTGGTTAAGGTGCTGGGCTTCCACATGGTTCAAGTCCTGGACCCAGCATCTTGAATATCATGCTGGGCATGTGTGTGTGCATGCCCAAAATCCCAGGAGGAGAATGCAAGAGAAAGGATTGTGGCATGGTCATCCTCCCAGGGGAATGATTTCTGATTTTTTCTCTTACTGTCTCTCTCTGTCTCTTTCTAGCAAATGCATGTGCTCTATAACAAAAACTTAAAAAAAAAAAAAAAGAAAAGAAAAGATTTGAAGTAACTAAATGTGAATTAAAATAAATTTTTAAAACTGATAATGTGTGGGGACCAGCACTTAGCATAATGGCTATGTCGCTGGACTCCCATGATATATAATATATATATATAAAATGGATATTAACTTTTACCACAACTACATAAGCTGTAAGGATATTCTGTTGTTATGTACACTATAACAACTACAGCTATGAAATAAGTAATTTCTTTTTTTAAAGAGAGATTTTTGCTATAGGGCATGTGCACTCACCAGTTAAACAGAGACGGAAAGACAGAAAACAAGAAATCACCCCCAAGGAAGTATAACCATGCCATGGATATTAACTTTTACCACAACTACATAAGCTGTAAGGATATTCTGTTGTTATGTACACTATAACAACTACAGCTATGAAATAAGTAATTTCTTTTTTTAAAGAGAGATTTTTGCTATAGGGCATGTGCACTCACCAGTTAAACAGAGACGGAAAGACAGAAAACAAGAAATCACCCCCAAGGAAGTATAACCATGCCACAATCCGTTCCCCTCCATTCTCCTCTCAAGATCTTGGGCACACATGCACCTGGTGAGTTTAAGTCACCAGGTCTGGGATTCGAACTGTGATCAGCTATGGGGGAGTACAACGACATAACCATTACACCACCTACTGGTCCCAAAATAAGTAATTTCTAACATGTCGTAATTGTGGGTAAGAACTCAGGCTCTATCAACATGCTTAGGTTCAAGACTCCTCTCTTTTAAGCTATGGGATATTGAAGAAGTCACTTGAAATCTCTATGCCTTGGCTTTATTGACTGTAAAATGAAAATAATGGAAAACTTCACTTTTCATCAGATCTAGGATTAAAACTCAAGATTTCAGCAGACTATGCTTTGGCCATGCTTACTACCAAATCTAGCACTAGAGAAATTATAGAAGTTAAGCAGGAGAATATAAAACATGAATTGCTTTGTTTATCCCTCATTCCTCAAATTACTAATTTAAACTTTTAATAGGGTTTTGTTTACTCTTAAAGTTTTCACAGACTTCACAAGAATTCTTAGATTCTCTGAATATTCAAAGAATGTATGGGGTTAACTATTTTGTTCATTTTGAGAGGATTCATTTATATACAAGGAAGTAATGAATTAAGTAAGAAAGATTCCTACTTAATTATTAAATTAAGACAAAAGAATACATCATGTTTCTTGGCATGACTATTTTTAAAAGAGATAAAATTAATTTTTTAGTTAAAAAAATTTGGGGGGCCAACAGGTGACATGGAGATTAAGCCACCTTCACCAGTGACGTGAAGGTTAAGCCACCTTCACCAGTGACTGTACTGTTCTAGTCTGGATCCAGCAGTTTGGAAAAGAAACATGCCGGGAATGTGTGTATGCATACATGCCCAAAATCCACAGAGGAAAATGGGGGAGAAGGGACTGTGGCATGACCGTCACCCATGGGAGGATGCTTTCTTACTTTCCCTCTCTCTCTGTCTCTCTCCAGTGAGTACACACACCCTATAGCAAAAACTATTTAAACTATTAATTATACTCATTCATTTTTAGCTAGTTTACATTTTTTACATGCTTACTCTCAGTATCAATTATTAAAAAATAGTAAGGTTTGTTTCTATAAAAAATAGAAGCTGTTTAGGAAAGAATAAATGTAGTACCAGACATATCTGGGTTATAATCTCCACTGAGTCACTTAATAACTAGACTTATCGTTTAATCTCCCTGTGCTTCAGTTTTCTCATCTATAACATTGGTATTATAATAATACAAAGATTATGAGAATACAGGCAACAAACATGAAGAACAGTGAGTGGTACCCTTTAAGCGCTCCGTAAGTATTTTGTTGGTTACTGTTGTTGGCTTTGCTGTTATGCACACCTTACTTTGAGAGAGTTGAAATATATCTCACTAGAGAAAAGTGATGCAGAAAACAGAATAGTTAAAATTTGACAAATGGAGCCTTTGTGGAGTCATCAGTGGTACAAGCACATTGGTAAACAAATATAGCTTCAACTTTTCTTTTCCTTCCATGTCTTAAAGGCTTCTGGAGCAGATGCCCTGGAGTTAAATTTGTCCTGTCCACATGGCATGGGAGAAAGAGGAATGGGCCTGGCCTGCGGGCAGGTAAGGACCTGTCGTTGTGTATGGCAATGGGCAATGTGACATAACAGGCCCCCTGTATGGATAGCTACTGTACCTTAGGCAAGGAGATGATTGGATCAGATGACTGGCTTGAGACTTCCAGGTCTGCATTGTTTAAATATTTAGTGTTTAAAAAGTGGAAAATGAAGAAAGCTGAAATTACAGCAACTGTTTAGTTTTATTGGGGAAAATATCACATTATGTGCTTGACAGGAAGTAATATCATAACAAATAGTTCTTTAGAAGCAATGAAGCAGAATTAGCTGATTTCAAATGCAATGTTCTTTGTTCATCCCTGATGCTGATCCAGTTTCTCTGGAGCAATATACTGTACGAAATGCATTGTTCGCAGTGATTTTGTAGTAAATGGGGCACAGCACAAATTGCATTTTACATTTTTTAGCATATGATCATTATTTCCTAACTGTGGTTGGGGAGTTGCAAAAAGACTTTGATGCTATTTTTACTTTTGGAAACAATAAGTAGAACCATCATGTTAAAATATGTTCAAAAAGCTAATAAATAAAATGTGTTATATATATATATTTATACATCTTTATGTAACTAGAAATGATGTTATATGATAAAGAACCATGTAAAAGCTTAATGCTAAGAAGGTGAGTATTTTGCATCTAATTTAGCTTTTATGCCCAGAGGGAAATAGTGTGAATTAAATAATATAAAATGTTGTAATTTCTGACAGATTTCCTAGTCCTGGAAAGGTTACTTTTATCTCCACATCTGGCACAGAGCCTTGTAAATAGTAGATGTTCAACTTTTTTTTTTTTTGAACCTGAAGTCATCAGATTGATTTGAATTAATCTCAGAGGCTCTTAATTTGGAAGGGCAAAAAGTTCTGCTTATTTACAAGAACATAGGTTGCTATTTTCATATTAGCATCCAGGGAGAGTTTTGAAGTCCTTTGTAAATATTTAATTAACATTAAAAATATATGTGAAACATAGGAAGAAACAATTCTATGTCGCAGCAGTAGAGCAAGGGCTGGTCAAATATGAGAGGACTTCAAAATGTTTGTGGAAAATGAAATTAAAGTATGAATTAATTTCTGGTGCAAACACTTTTGAAATCCTTACATAGTTTTTATTACAATGCACGTTCTTCATAAATGTTCTGTAGACCCTTAATATTTTTCAAGTATATCCTCTGTTCTACTCATAACAGGCTACCAACAAGATCAGTAAGGGTTGTAACAGAATCAAAATTCATAATTACCCCGTGGGAGGAAAATGTCATTATACTGAATCATGACTTTTCTAAGTCACATAATTAGATACAGTTCATCTGTCAAGATAACATTGATCCAAAGGTAGAGCACACTGTTCTGTAAGGCTGATCCACATGGAAGAGCTCCATGTTCACATCCAGAGACCTGCCTGATTACCCTGGACACACTTGTACCCTTGATCCCAAGCTGGCCAAAGCTGGGACAGATCACAGACTCTATTGGGAGTGCTGTCTCTATGTCTCTCTCTGCATTCATGGAAAAGACAGATGAATAAACTTTATATATATTATGTATATCTTATATTTTAAATTATATATATATGTATATATATACACACATATACATACACACACACATATACACACACATATATATATATGAACTAAAATTAGGAAGAGTCCTAAAAGGATACTTCAAACAGGGCCTAAATAATATTGCTCATCTCAGATCAAGGTTGTCTCTTTACTTATTTCATATTCTCTGAACATTAAAACCAAAATATTTTGTAGTGACATGGATAAAAACAACTATGGAAAATATAAATCTTTTGACCACTCTGTTAAGGAAGGGTGCATTTTAATATTTATTCTTTGCCACAAATGTAACAATTTATTTTGAAATGGTGGGCTATACCCCCCCCCAAGTTTATTTTTTAAAAGTAGGGTTTTGGTCTATGAGCATGTCAGAACTTAACCAGCTGTTAAGTGTCGTAGGTGTACACTCTCTAGAGAGTTATTTAGCCACATTAATTTTTGCATAGCCTTTGGCTGAGTAAGAATGTCAAATGCTAAAATTTTGCAGTCAGCGATATCATTAAGATTTCTACTAGTCTTAGAAAACATATGTCCCAAAACCCATGCTATCTTGGCTGAAGGAAACAGGAACATTTCCATTTCTCTTATTAGTTATAATCTCTACAATGAAACCAATTCTTCCTGTCAGCCAATTTTGGAAATCTTCTTTCGAATTATATTCTCTTGTAAATTATATAATTGAAAAATAAAGCTAATTTAATCCTTTTTGCTGTAAAACATTTGAAATTATTACTCTGCCTCAGGACACATAAGTGTTCAGTATTTTAAATGAAAGGAAGAAAGAATATATTGCATTTTTAAGAATGACTTTACTATAGCTCTGACTTTTAGAGTGAACATAAACCCATCTAAGATTTATTCACTTTTTCCTACTTTTCTTTCCCTTTCTCTACTTCCTGTTCCTGTTTCTCCCTCCTTTCCTAGGTTCTAGAGTCTTGAACAAGTGTAAGAAGTTAGGATAGGAAATTCATATTCAGTGTGGCAGGACCAAGGAACACTTCCAGTTCCTCTTCCCATCACAACTGATATGGCATTCCATTTATTGGAAGCGTTTTGTGTCCCAAGCTCAGAGCTATATGCGTTGTCAGAGCCTGATAAATGTTTGCTTCATGAATCAGACAGTGTCGTTAGTTCCACAGCTAGAATATTTATGTATCAGAGACACTTTCTTGTAGGGTGTATTTTCCTGTATAAACACCTATTTTTATCCTTCTTTATCTCAAATATTTTTCTGACAAATATTTAATAAGTGAAAAATATTGTTTTTGTACCCAAGTGATTTTGCCTGTGTATAATCAGCATACATTGCACACGCACACACACTCATACGCAAATACACATACACTCACACTAACAATTGTAAAATATATGAACAGAAAAGTCCATAACCTCTACTCTACAGCACACAGGCATCATATATACTATGATATTTGTAGAAATAAAGGAAATTTCAAGCTGACCTTGGAGATTTGAGTTTTGTGTTTCTGCAAAGTGAAGCTTCATTTAAAATATTAAGCACATCAGCATTGCGTAGTGTTTGAAGTTAGTTTCTTTCTAGCTGTCTCAACCACCAAGCCACTTGCCGGCCGGTAGTTTCTTTCTATATCCTTTCCATCAACCATCTGTGTTACCTTAACCAAACCACTTACTCTCCTGAAGCATAAGTTTCCTTCTCTAGGATAGGAGATTTAAACTATAGTAGATGATATCTAAATTCCCTTCAAGCTTTAATATTCTGTGAATGTTACCATTATAGGTACCAGGCTAATAGGTTATTTTAAAGTTACCCTTAAAGACATTTGATAAAGCAAATGCAACTATAAAAAAAAATGAATGTGCATTATGTTACTTTTCAAAGATACTTTACTATTATTTACTTAGCCTGCATAAAGTCAGGGTTTTATTTATGTAATTTCTAACTGCTTTTACATCAACCAATGCTGCTCACTTTTTGGTATAGTTTACTTCTTTTGATCTAAGTAGCAGTTGATCAAAAAGGCTGTCATTGGCTAAATAGATTATCCATAGTTAAAGCAGCAAAAACATAACCCTTGGTTTTGTAATAAAGCATGCTCTTCCATTTTAGATAGTGGTATTCCCAGTAACCTTGATGCTGTAGAAGAGGTGTCCAGTTTTAGTTTGTTCACTTCAGATTCAAAGTTATATCATGACATTAAAAAAAAAAAAAAAGAAATGATACTCTTCAATCTCCTCAAAACAACCCTCTAGGGAACCAGCAGTTAGCGTAATGGCTATGTCGCTGGACTCCCACGTAGTCGACCGCGGTTCGCGTCCCGGAACCATTAGCTTAATCCCACGGGCGCGTGTGCGTGCGTGCCCAAGATCCTGAGAGGAGAATGGAGGAGAAGGGATTGCAGCATGACCATCCCCCCTGCGGAGTGATTTCTCGCTTTCTGTCTCTATGTCTCGCTCTGTCTGGCGAGTGCACGTGCCCTATAGTGAAAATCTCTCAAAAACAAACAAACAAACAAACAAAAAAACAACCAAACAAACAAAAAAAGAAAATATAGAAGGATCTCCCTTGTTTTCCCATCACCCAAACTACAAACCTACAGGATCTGTACTCATTCTGTCTGTCTTAATACCATTCAATAATGTTCCTGAGAGGAGAATGGAGGAGAAGGGATTGTGGCTTGG